GAGTACAACCATGTCTGACTTTTACTGACTCCACAAAGGGAATCTGTTCCTGTTAACAGCATCACAAAGACAAAACCAGTTCCCGTGGGGTCAGACATGTCCTCCACACTCATGTACTTCTTTCTATTCATCTCAACACAAGTCTTGCTGCTTTACTGGGCCAAAAATCCTCTATTATAGCTCACAATATCTAGTATTAAGCCACCACACAGAAGCATGTTTGAAAGTCCTGCCAATATTAGTTCTACTCTGCACCCCAGCTCCTCCACCAAACTGTCCAACAAACTTGAGCAAAGGCTCTTAGCTGAGCTCTGGTTCTGTCTGTGGTGGGTGGATGGGTCAGCAGGCAGCTCTGTCTCTTGTCTCTGGTCTTCTGCTTCAGTTATTGCTGCTGTTAATTTGTTGAAAGATTTATGTGTTAAGGGTTTTGTTTATTTAACTTTATAAATATCACTGTTTCTTGGGTTTTTCTTTGTTGTTGTTGTTCCTATAACAACGTTAATATATACTGATAATTAGGATTTTTGTTCCTTTGATATTAAGAATCATAAAATTAATTAATACTATATATTGTAAATCTTGAATGTGTATAAGTCAACTCTTGAGTCCAATGCTAAGGTGGATTTACCCTGGAGAAAATCTTGTTGTAAGCAGTAAAGCTAGAGGATAGGGGGCTTAACTGGGAGAGGATTAAACTCATCCTAGTACTCTGAGGTTATTTGCTTTTCAATGGATTTATATACTTTTCTTGGCCTTTTGATTGAAGAGTTGTATATTTAGAAGAAAAAGAGTCTTTGATCTTTTCAAATCAGAACAAGCAGATTGGCAGGTTTAAGTTGGTATCCATCAGAGCTCCTTTCCAGGACTTGAGGTTAAAGGGATTCAGTGAGTATGCTCACTTGTGATGGCCACATGATCCAGTGGAGTAAAATTAAGAGGCATGCAGCAATGAAGAAACAGTCTGAGTTTGGATATATTCCATTAGCATTATTGACCTGTTATTGTTGATTGTTGTTGAGTCGAGCATGACTCATAGCAATCCTATGAACAAAAGACCTGAACCCTTTCTGTAACTATCATCATTCCTCTAAATTCATAGAGTTTCCAGAGGCATTTTTTTAGAAGTGGATGCAACTTCTGCTTCCAAAGTTTTCTTAATCTGAGAGCTCCATCAAACATTATCCACCATGGGTAACCATTATGGCATATGACACTCCAGTGGCACAGGGTCCAGCATCACAGCAACCCCAGGTTACCTCAGTATAGCAAACTTACAGACCATTACTGTATCACTTAGAAGAATGTTCCTCCAAAATATAACAACACTAACCAACTGATTTTTAAGTACAAAGGCCCTAGTAGAGTTGTGATTTCTTCTCTAAAGTCAGGTATCATAAAATTTAAAAAGTTCCCCTCCCCACGCTCCCACTACTCTCCCAACTTCTCTAGACTATAATGGCTTAAAACTAGGAGGCAGGGGGAATAATTATTGACCTAACATGTACAAATACACAAAGGATAATGGATATGTGCAAAAGAGTTGCTGGCTTTGAGAAGGGAGTCATGAAGAGCCCTGTCTGGCTGCCTTGACCCCATGTGGGGGCTAAGACTGAATGAAGGAATCAGACAGTCTGGAACATAGGAAGAAGTGTATACAACCGAGTTTGCAGCTGATGTCCATTTGGATCTAACCATGGATGGCTTGAGATGAGATGACCAGAATCCAAAATGATGGGCCATGTTGATTTCTGCAACATGATAGTTTGCACTTGACTTGACTTTGTCTAAGGATGCAGATGCTAAATGTTCTAACTAAAAAAGAAGATTCATCAGAGAAAGAAATAGACTTTCTTTAGAACACTGGTTTGATTGTTGCTGTTATGTGCCATTGAGTCACCTGTGACTCATAGAGACCCTATGTATAATAGCTCTGGAGCTTGCCCAGTCTCATTGACTCTGACAAACCTATGCCATTGTCCCATTGTCCCAGTTACTGTCCAATTAGTCTCATCCTGGGTCTTCTACTGCACTGTCCCCCTTCCATTCTTCTGAGCATGAGGTCTTTCTCCTGGCCATGTGCCCAAAATATGTGAAGCAGAGCTTCAAAATCCTAGCCCTCAAGACAGACTTATTTATTTTCTTAGCTGTCTATCGTATGTTCAAGACTCTTCTTCAGCATCACAACTTGTCTGATACATTGGTGACTGAAATTCTTGACCTTCATAAACCAATAGTTAACCCTCAGAGACAGTTTAAAGGTCTTCCTATTGCAAACAGGAACCAGACAAGCATGCGCCCTACCATTACTCCTATTCAATATTGTATTGAAACTTCTAGCAAGAGAGAGAAGACAAAATAAGGAAATCAGGACCATCCAAATTGGCAAGAAGGAGGTAAAACTATCTCTATATGCAGATAATAAGACAGTATACATAGAAAATTCCAAGGACTAAGCAGGAAAATTGCTGGACCTAGTATAACAATTTATCAAAGTGGCAAGATGCAAAAGCAATACATAAAAACCAATAAAATTTCTCTATAGCAGGAAAAAGAATTCTGAAAAGGAAACAAGAAAAACAATATCAATAGTCAATAACAGGATGAAATACTAAGGGATAAACAAAACTGGAGACATTAAAACCTAAAGAAAGAAAACTAAACAACACTACTGGAAAAAAGAAAAAGAGACCCAGATATCCTGTTAATAAATAGACTTAATATTGTAAAAATGACAATACTTCCAAAAGCAAGATACAGATTTAATGCAATCTCAATACAGATACTAGTATCATTTTCAAGACGAGTCAATTTCCAACCTTTCTGGAAAGCAAAGTGATTCTAAATATGTAAAGCTCTGCTGAAAAAGAAAAACAAAGAAGGAGACAGTACATGCCCTGATCAAAATCTACAACATAGCCACAAAAATCAAAACATTGCACTGGTACTGCAACAGACGCACAGACTAATAGAACAGAATTGAGGATTCAGACATCAATTCATCCACCTATAGTCAACTGATTTTTTTTTACTGAAACAAAATCCCCATATCATATCATGCATAAAACCAAACTCAAGGTGAATCAGATATCTAGAGGTAAAATAAAAAAAAAAACACCAACGAAATAAACAAAAAAACAACCTATAAATCATTAGTGAAAAGACAGGAACAAAGTAGAAGGTTAAGATATTTGGTTGCTAACAAAAAATTTAGAGCTTTGAGTTCACCCAAAGGCACTTGGGAAGAAAATCCTAGTGATCTATGCCACAAATATCTGCCACAGAAAACTCTACAGACCTCAGTCCTACTCTGACACACACAGGGTACATTGCTGAGAGACTAGCTCAACAGCAACTGATATATAGATGGTTTCTTTATATTAATGTGTATATGCACTTACTTTATATGCAGAGTTGGAACTAAATCATAGCTGACCCTCCAGCAGGTTTTCTGAGGCATGAATTGCATGGGAGAAGACAGCTCATCCTTCCTCCGTAGAGCAGCAGGTGGACTTACCACAAGCATTTGGGACTGCAGCACAATTTATCACTTGGCCACCCATGTGTATTTACAATCACTACAATGAAATTTCAGTTTGTCATCTAGTTTTGTTTTCTTAAAGTAGATCCTGCCACATAATCTAGTCAGTCATGATTCTGAGTGTTTGTGGGAATTTAGTTAAAACAGCAGCTCCCACACATAAATCCAAATTAAAAATTAACTCATCCTTTTATTTTATTTTAACTCAGATTTTTAATTGTTTTCTTTTTTTTAAATTTGTAACTTTAATACATTTGGGGTTTATACCATGTAACCTCTAAAATGAAAACATGTTTCTTTTTTTTTGTAACAAAGTACATTTTTGTTTACCCAGTAGACTTGGAAAATCCATCACTGAAAGGATCATTTTCTTTCTCTCATATCATGTTTCATAAAAGATTTCTTGGGTGCTTAGTGATAAGGAGCTACACTGCCAACCCAAAGGCACATGGTTCAAATTCACCACCTGCTCCATCAAAGAAAGATAGACAGTCTCCTCCTATGCAATTTACTGCCTTTGAAAACCCACTGGAGAGTCAGCTATGAGTTGGTTCTGCCTTGACAGTACACAATATGCATATATTTTTATTTATAAAATTTGTTTTTAATTTATTTCTCACTATATATTGTCATATCTAATGATAATGATTAAGAACTGGTGGTGTGAAGGAATAGGTCTATACTGCACTGAAAACACTGGTGAAAAACAAGATTTCAGGATCTGACAGAATATCAATTAACAAAGTGTAATGAGCTCACTTCTGTATACAGAAAAATTTGGACGATAGCTACCTGGCTGTCCATTGACCACAAGGGACCCATATTTGGATCCAACAGGAAGTGTAAATTATTGAACAATATCATAAATATCCCAGGAATGCAAGATCTTACCAAGGATAATATAAAAATGGCTGGAGACAAAAATAGACAGGAAACTGCCGGAAATTCAAATGGGATTCAAAAGAAGTTAGGGAACAAGAGACATAGTTTCTGATATCTGGTGGATCTTGGCTGAAAGCAGAGAATATCAGAAAGATGTTAACCCATGTTTTATTGTCTATGCAAAGGCTTTTGACTCTGTAGACAATAAGAAACTATGGATAACATTAAGAATGAGAATTAAATAGATTTTATTGTGTTCATGCAATATATAACCAACAAGCATTAATTCAAAGAGAATAAAGAGATCTAGCATAGCTTAAAATCATAAAAGGTATGCCTCAGGGTTGTATACTTCCACCATACCTATTCAAGCTATTTGCAGAGAAAATAATGTGAGAAGTTTGACTATATGAGAAAGAACAGCAGATTTAAAGTAAAAGCCTTTCTTGAAGTACATGAAGAATGGAATAAGTCATTGATCACCACTGTTTGCTAATAAATATATTTGTTTACCAAAGAAAATATATTGCTTATGTTGATGTACAATTATAATAATAAAGTTTATTACATAATCACTTACCTTTACACTTTGTATTTTATAGGGCAGGTCTCTTGACTTCACCTCCTCCACATACAATGAAACACCTGTATTATTAGGTTTGGCTTGATAAATCATATGTTCAAATCCAACAGCAGAATCTAGGGGTTCAATTCCATAAGTGGTATTTTCAAACTGTAGTAAGCCTCTATAAATTCAAAAAAAGAAAGTAAATAACTTTTTTCCAAAAGTTTTAGTTTATACCCAAAAGGGAAAGGGAGAAGCTGGAAGGGTGCTTAGAAAGGGAAAAAGTGGAAATCATTAGGATAGGAGAGTTTAGTGGGCAGATGAGGGTGGTAAAGGAATAGGAATGACTCAATAGGGACTTGAAAATCATAAGCATAGAGAAATAAAAACTATGTAAAATCCAATGTATATGAATGACTGTAGAAAACACAATGTAAATGAAGATTGCATAAAACACAAGTACATGAATGAAGTACAATGTACACAATTATTATATGTAAATCAATAAAAAAGTGGGGGGGAGGCGGAAGAAGACCAGAGCAGATTCTAAGGCATTTTCTTTTTAGCTAACTTGAATGAATTAATTAAATCTTGCATGTTGTTATTTGTTGTTAAGTGCCATTGAGTCGTAGACAACTCATAGTGATCCTATGAAGGAAAGACCTGAACACTTGTATAACTTTGTTTCTCTAAGTTCACAGGGTTTCTGGAGTCAAGCTATTTTGGAAGTGGATGCCACTCCTGCTTCCAAGCTTGCATACATAATAAATACTCTAATTTTAAAAAATATAACTATATTTTAAACCGTTCTAATGGTATTCAGATCATTTTTAGAAGTCAAGTAGAAAAAAATTACTGAATATCCAAAATTTAGTGAATATTCAAAAGCAAACAAAGTAAAACAGTAATAGTTTGTTTTTTCAAAATAGTAGTTGTTTGTTTTTTTCAAAATACTAGTATTCCAATACAGAAAAAGGGCAGTCAGAATGATCCATGGAGGCAAGAATGGTGAAAGCTTAGAGTTACATACTTTGGGCATGTTGTTAGGAGAGGCTATTCTTTGGAATGACTCATCATGCTGGGAAAGGTAGAGGATCAATGAAAGAGGGGAAGACTCTCAACAAGACAGAATGACACAGTGACTGGAGTCATGGGCTCAAGTGTGCCAGAGAGGATGAAGATAGCACAGGATAGGACAGGGTTCAGATCTGTTGTTCTTAGAGTGCTTGACAATGCACAGTACGAAAACCAACAGTCTTCATGGTCTTTATATATATATTTTTTTTTTCTATACTTAAGATCAAATTTCACTTGTCTTAACTTCATGTATATATTAAAAATCTTAACACAGAATAAAACTACAGCCTAATAAGAATGTCCATGTTGTGATTTTTTTAATAAAGTTTTCCACACTAATCATGACTCACTGGAGAACTGCTGAATACTAAATTTTTAAAATTAAGGAAAATAAATTTGTTAATTTGCACTACATAAAATAATATATACAAATATCTATCTCATGACCTGAGTCCAGTACATGTGTTAACCATCACCATGGAATTTTTAAAACCTTCAATAAATCCTTGGTAAAAGCAGAGATTCTGAAAAAAAAAATACACATTTATTAAAACAATTCATATTAAACATACAATTTTCAATCATTTAGGGAGCTCTGGTGGCCTAGTGTTAAGAATTTGCATTGCAATCCCAAAGGCACACAGTTTGAATCCACACAGTTCTACAGGAGGATGGGCAATTTCCTCTTTTGCAATTACTGCCTCTGAAAACCCACTAGAGGGTCATCTGGATGGTATTCAACAAGAACAACAATGCATATTTGTGTATATTTGTAACATTCTCATTGCTTGAAAAATGGATTTCTAAGATTATTAGCTGAACATTTGTCCGAATTCTTCAGAATGTTTCCTAGAATTTAATTGTCTTAATTTTATTTTATAAATAGAATACACTATGAGATCAAGGTAAAAATTATAAAATGTTTGTTTCATAATTGATTTAACGTTGCAATTTAATGTTGCAAAAATGGTAAGTTTGAGGAAGAACATTTAAAACAATATATATATTTAAAACTATATTTATATTTATAAAACTATATATATTTACAACTCTATATATTAATAAATATATACATATATAAATGGGGTTGCTTTCATAGTTAAAAAAGTCATTTCTAGATCCATCTTGAAATACAATACTGTGAGTGACAGGATAATATCCATGATGTGCCAATCGTGGTAATGGGCACCCATGGTGGACAGTGTTGGCTGGAGATTCCCGACTAAATCAAGCCTGGAAGCAGGAGCGGCATCCACTTCCAAAATGGCTTGCCTCTGGAAACTCTATGGATGAACAGTGCTCAGGCTGTTCGTTCATAGGGTCGCTATGAGTCGTCTACGACTCGACGGCATTAAACAACAACAACATATCCCTACACATACAAGGAAGTCCAGTGAATACCACTATCATTCAGATATATGCACCAACAACCAGAGCCAAAGAGGAGGAAATAGATGATTTCTACCAACTTTTAGAGTCAAGAGATTGATCAAACATGCAATCAAGATGCACTGATAATAATAGGTGCCTGGAATGCAAAAGTTAGGAACAGAGAAGAAGAATCAGTGGTTGGAAAACATGGACTTGGTGACAGAAACGAAGCTGGAGGCAGAATGACTGAATTTTGTACAATGACTTATTCATTGCAAATACATTTTATAAGAAACATAAACACAGGTTATACACATGGATTTCACCTGATGGTATGCATAGGAATCAGATTAGTTACATTTGTGGAAAGAACCGTAGGAGAAGCTCAATATCAGCTGTGAAAACTAGGCCAGGAACTGACTGTGGAACAGACCACCAACTACTCATATGCAAGTTCAAGCTGAAGCTGAGGAAAATTAAACCGAATCCACGGGAACCAAAACATGACTTGGAGTTATCCACCTGAATTTCTGAACCAACTCAGGAACAGGTTTGATGCCCTGAACACCAATGAGCAAAGACCAAATGAGTTGTGGGAGGATGTCAAAGGTATGATCCAGGAAGAGTGCAAATGGCCATTATGAAGACAGAAGAGGAAAAAAAAGACCAAAACGGATGTCACAAGAAACTCTGAAGACTCCACTGGAGTGCAGTGAAGCCAAAGCAGAAAAAGAATTCAAGATACTAAAGAGCTGAAGAGAAGATTCCAAAAGGCAGCAAGGATGACAAGACAAAATAGTACAATGAAATGTGCAAGGAGTTGGAGTCAGAAAATCAAAAGGGCCAAACGCATTCACCATTTCTTAAGCTCAAGGAACTGAAGAACAAATTCAAACCTCAAGTTTCTATAATCAAGGATGCTTTCGGCAGAATATTAAATGATCCAGGAAGTATTAAAAGATGATGGAAAGAATATACTGAGTCACTGTATCTAAAGGCACTGGCAGACACAAGAATTTCATGAAATAGTTTATAAGTAAGAGCTTATGGTGATGAAGGAAGACGTTCAAGCTGCTTTGAAAGAAATATAAAAAAATAAGGCCCCAGGAATATAAGGTATACCAGTTGACGGATTTCAGCTAATAGGTGCTGCCCTGGACGTGCTCACCAAGTCGTGCCAAGAAATCTGAAGAGCAACCAGTTGGCCAACTAACTGGAAAAGATCTATATTTGTTCCCATTCCAAAGAAGGGTGACCCAACAGAGTGTGGAAACCTCAGAACAATATCATTGATTTCACATGCAAGCAAGATTCTACTGAAGATTATTCAAAAATGATTGGAACAGCTTATCAGCAGAGAACTGCCAGAAGTCCAGGCAGGGTTTAGAAGGGGTCCTGATACTAGGGATATTGTAGCAAATGTCAGATGGATCTTAGCTGAGAACAGGGAATACCAGCAGAATGTCTATCTGTATTTCATTGATTACGTAAAAGCGTTTGACTGTGTGGATCATAACAAACTGTGGCTGCCTCTGAGAAGAATGGTAATCCCAGAACATTTAATCGTGCTAATGTGAAACCAACCTATACTTGGACCAAGAGGCAGTCATCAGAACAGACCAGGGCAACACTGCATGGTTCAAAATTGAGAAGGGTGTATGCCATGAATGTGTCCTATATCCATACTTTTCCAACTTGTATGCAGAGCACAATATCTGAGAGGCTGGGCACTATGAGGAGAAGTGTGGCATCAGGACCTGTGGAAGATCAATTAACAGTCTGCGTTATGCAGATGACACAACCCTGCTTTCTGAAACTGAGGAGGACCTGAAGCCCTAGCTGCAGAGGGTCAAGGACTGCAGCCTTGAGTATGGATTGAAGCTCAACATCAAGAAGACAAAGATTCTCACCACTGGACCAATTGGCAGCATCAGGATGGATGGTGAAGAGATTGAGATTGTTCAAAGCTTTAGTTTGCTTGGCTCCTCAGTCAACACTCTCAGCACCAGAAGCCAGAAAATGAAAAGACATATTGCAATGGAAAAGTCTGCTGTTAGGGACCTCTCCAAAGTATTAAAGAGTGATGGCATCACTCTGGAGACTAAGGTGCATCTGATACAGGTCATGGTCTTTGCAATCACTTGTCATGCATCAGAGAGTTGGACAACGGCTAGGGAGGATAGAAGGAGAATTGATGCCTTTGAGCTATGGTACTGGAGAAGAGTATTCAGTGTACCATGGACTGCTAGGAAAACAAACAGATTCATCCTGGAAAGGTTTAAACCGAGCGGCTCCTTGGAGGCAAGGATTCTGAGGCTTCGTCTAACATACTTTGGACATGTTGTAAGGAGAGACTGGTCCTTGGAGAAGGACATCATTCTTGGGAGGGTGGAGGGACAGCACAGGAGGGGAAGGCCCTCTATGAGGTAGATAGATTCAGTGACTGGGGCAATCGGGACGGGAGTGTCAGAGACAGTGTGACTGACACAGGACAGAGCAGAGTTTAGGGCTGTTGTACATAGGGTCGCTATGAGTTGCAAGCGACTCAACGAAACATAACAACAACAACAACAATTGTAAAATATTTCATGATGCTTGGAAGATTGTTTATATTGTGGATTAGGGCTTCTAAGTGTTCCAAGCTATGCAGAACTGAAAAATAAGAAACTCATGGGTGTCCCTGAAGATATTATGCTGAGTGAAATATCTCAGTTACAAAAAGACAAATACTATGTAATAGGATTGATATAAAACAGGACTGACATGGGGAGTTGGGAGAAAACCATTAAAAGAGGGTTTAGATTATGTATGCTGCATTGGCACAGATGAAGGAGAAAACTGTTTAAAAGGAATATATGATTAGGCATTATTTGTATGACAATAATCCAGAATAAGAGGTGCACTGCAAAGTGGACTGGGGGAAGGGGAGGGTGGGAGAGAGAGGAAGTTGTGCAACAATGAATGAATATTTTTTAAAAAGTAAATTGGTTATGAATATGAATTGGTTATGAATATGGTTAGCACAGGAACCCAGAATTAAGGTTGCAGAGAGAAGTGTACTTGGGGTGGGGGGGTGGGGGAAGGGATAGGGGAATTGTATACCAATGAAGGCATTTTTTTTTCTTTTTCTTTTCAGAGAAGGGAGCGAACTGGTGGGGAGGGGTGGGCAAAGAGAAAAGTGCAGCAGTGAATGAATGGAAATCCAAAATCTCTGTAAATGTTTATTAAAATTAATTAAAAAAAGAAAAATACATATAAGGGGGGAAAAGTGAATTGGGGTGTTGGGAGGAAAATATGCAACAATGATTGAATGGAAATCCAACTTTTCTGTAAACTTTCATTAAAATTACAATTAAAGTTTGACTCATGTACTTTTAACTTATTAAATTTGTGTCTTCTAGCCTGCAACACTTCCATGATCCAACTTCAAGGATATGAACATGTACGGCTAAGCACATTTGATAACAGTGCTTCTAAATTCCAAAATCAATCTCCATAATAGTCTATGTGTTTCCTACTGCCAAAGGGGCCCTTTAGAGTAGTGAGAGAAGATCTTCACCCTGAAACCCACAGTGTCCCTTTTCAGCAGGAAGTAGCTAAGAGAATACGCCATCCCCTTTTCATTATGACTCAGGGTGAAGTCTCTCTCAGGGAGGAGTGATAGGGAATGGCAAGGGACACACTGACAAAGGAAATTAATCAGAACTGGCTTAGATAAGCACTGTGGCAATTGGACAATTAAAACAGACTTTCAAGGGGGGGGAAAAAAGAACGAACTGGGAAGCAGGGTTAGAGAAAATAGTGCAACAATGAATGAATGGAAACCCAAAATCTCCATAAATGTTCATTAAAATTAATAAAATTTAATAATTTAAAAATATTCCAATTAAAAAGGAGTCAGTTCTGACTAGACAATGGCAATAAGTGAGAGAAAGAGAAACTGCTGAATTAGCAAATTGTCTGAGTGATCCATATGAGTTTTTTTGGTGTTTGTTATTTTACAAAAAGCACACTTCTCAAATTAGTTATCTTAGAAAAGGGAACAAACTTAATTAGAAGAAATAATCAAGAAACAAAACCACCAAAGGTAACATAAGCCCCAAAGGTAGTGTAGGGAAGTACCCAGAGTGGCTATTAGATAGAATCTAAAATGTCCAAGTCCAGTAAAAAACAAGAAGACATGAAGAGACAAAAAAATATGACCCATACCCCAAGTAAAAACAAACCAGCAACAGAAAATCTCTGTAAGAACATCATATCTTTAACCTAACAGAAAACAGTAACTAAGAGATTATTATAAATATACTCAAAGCATTAAAGGATGTCATATTTAAAGAAGGTGAGTATAACTAGTATGGCATCAGATTGCGAGTAACAATAAAAAGCAGAAATTATAATTAAAAAACCAAATGGAAAATCAGGAATTAAAATGAACTGTGATTAAAAGTAAAATTCACTACTTGTATACAAGAAATTCCTTTTGGTAGCCTGGTGAGTAAGAACACGACAGCAGGAGGTTCTAATCCACTTAAGGAGAAAGATGGGTAATTTCTTCCAATGTGATTTACAATTACTGAAAACTTTCTGAAAGGTCAACTATTTAACTAGCAATGAGTGAGCGAGCTAGAAATAAATTTCAGAATGTTTCTTAGGAGGAACAAACTTTGGATACATTTTCAGAAGAGATCAGCTTTGGGGTTATGCTTGTAGAGATCTGGGGGAAAGTGAAAGATCTTCAATCATTAATGAGTTGTGTTGGGGTTCTAGTTACTTTTTTAAGTAATTTCTTTTTGTCTTACTTTGTACATATTTCTTATTTGGATCAGCTTCAGATATGTACTACTTTTCCTCCAGTAAAACACACAAACATTATTTCTATAGCCCTATTCACTTTCCCCCATTTGTATGGTACTACGGTTATGAATGGTATTGTTTTTATTGTGTACTGTTGAGTCAGAACTAACCTATAGTTGACTCTCCAGTGGGTTTTCAGAGGCAGGAAATTTTATGAGAAGAGACTGCCCATCTTTCTCCTGTGGAGCAGCTTGTGGATTAAAAATCCTTGCCTTTGTATTGACAGCACAACTCCTTACCACTAAGCCACCAGAGCTGCCTCATAATGTTTTTATAGCTACATATATAACTTCATCAGTGTTATTTGGGTTTGTACATTTATTTGAATCACAATATAGGAATCTCTTTCTTTCTGAAGAATTTATTATTTCTTGTCAGGCAGGTCTGTGGCAACAGATTCTCTCAGTTTTGTTTGTCTTAGAATGTTTTTACCTTCATTTTTGAAAGATAGTTTTATTGTATATACTATCCTTGTGTGTTTGCATATTTAATCTTTAAGTTTTTCTATTGTTTCTGGCTTCACTTATTTATGCTGATAAATCTCCTAGTATACCTTACTGGAATTGCCACAAGGATTTCTTTTTCTCTTGCTGCTCTTGCTTATTTTTCTCTTGATCATCTCCTTAATTTTACTTTTATAATTTTTGCTATTATATGTCTTAAAATATATTTCTACTTATTCTACTTGGGATTCATTTAATTTTCTGGATATTAAAGTTAGTGCTTTGCCATAAATTTCACAGGTTTTCAGCTATTATTTCTTTGAACATTTTTTTTTTTGCCTTCTTCTAGAACTCGAATTATGCCTTTGTTGGCACATTTAATGCTGCTCCTGGGTCTATTCATTTTTCTATCATTCTATTATTTAGATTGCTTAATCTCTATTGGTATATAGCTTGCTAATCTTCCGGTTCAGATCTACTGTTTGTTGTGGTGAGGTTCCTGTGAACTGGTTCCATTTCAGAGGAATCCTATGCACTAAACAACAAACTACCACCTGTTTCTGTAGCATCCCCCTAATTCTTGCTATATTTAAGCACACTGTGATAGCAACTGTGTCCATGGGTCCAAGAATCAAGAAATTAAAGTAAGCATGTGACACAATTAGATCTAATAACCCTTCACAAAATGTTGCTTTGCATTCCAGTGACTTTTCGTACACAATAAATTACACAGAATATATAATCATGGGTCTATTAAAGACCACAACTTGGGTTCGTTATGTCATTGAACAGACAGATTTTGTAGGGGGCAAAAGAAAAAGAAAGTAAGTAGTGGAAGAAAGAAGCGATAGCTATCAATATGGCTTCATGACCACTTTATAAAGATCAGGACTGCTGTAGTTTTGATTATTTTCTCTTTGCTTGATATCTGCATGTCTTTATTTGCACATAGCAAATATTTTCCTTTTATTTCCCTCTTATCTGTTGTTTAGGTACAAGTTTCTGAAAGTTAGTTTTATAATTTATTCTTAGGTAGCATGATATTGAGTAGGATTATGACAGAACTGAAGAGAAATTAAGATAGTGGATACAATGGCTTTTAGGATTCTAAATCTCTTCATTTTGAAGAAAGGGTAAGGATTTCCCCACTTGTACAAAGGACGGGTATATTGGTAGAAATGTGTAGCAATTTTATTCATTTAATCAAGTTTAGTCATGTGCAGAAAAACATACCTGATGGTTAAATTAGAGCTATAAATTGTCAATTACTGATGAATTGCTATTCAACTCTAAACTCACTCTTTCGTCTGCTCTGTGAAAGTATACGGTTTCTTTAAATAGCCTACTTTTTCCATATGAAACTGACATACCATCAAAACATCTTTTCGGAATGATTGCATTTATACTAATCCAAAATAAATTTTCACCTTATCTTTCTGTACTCTAGATGTGTACCCCAAGTAAAATGATCAAAGAAAACTTTCATGACAAAATTAAAGTGTAATTTTAGAACATAAACATAAGTAAAAATCATTACCTGGAAATTTTGTTTAAGAGGTTTCATACTTCCTGCACCTTGATAACCATAGACTCTAAAATTATGATGTAAAAAGGTTCTGAAAAGTAAGGCAGGGAAAGTGCTTCTTAAGAGTCTTTGAATACATGAATTTTGCTCTAAAATTCTTTTTAGAAAAAAAATACTAGCTCAAAGGCCCATCGTTAACTACTACGGTACTTCTATTAATCTTTGGTCCATATATCTTGACCTGGATGGTGAACCATATCTCTTCTAGACTGCAACAAGTGCACAACAAGATAATAATTGCAAAAGATTACCAGCCTCTCTCTCTCTTATTGACAAGACAGAAGTCACTTTTAGGGATGGAGGAGAGAATGGGCCCTGAACCTGTAGGCAGACAGACCTACACTCAGCACCAAGTAGCCAGAAAGATCTCTTCCCCCAATTCCCATAAGAATCAAGGCCGAATACTTCTCAGGAAGGACATGCTAAGGGCTTTAATTTCTACTTAGTCTTTCTCTCTTTCATAGAAGGAGGCTGGAGTCTCCTAGGAAATGGGAAAGAAATCATTACATGTGTGTTAATTTGACAGTATTTCCAGAAGGAGCCAAAATACACCAGGAAGTAGCCCTCTCTCCTGCCAATCACACTACACTTTTGGTGGGGCGGGACCATGAGCAGGTCTCACAAGACCAGGAGTCAACAAAGACAGTTCCCATCTGAAGTCACTCTTTTTTGGGGGGGTAGGGGCTGACACTTTGATTTCTTTTTCTGCTATCACCATGGCAGAGGTCTTTTCCTCTTTTCCTTTTCACAAGGTATGCCTAAATAAACCTTTTTTACTTTTTCTGCTAAATTGATTTAAAAAAAAAAAAAACACCCTAGCTCAAGATCTGTCTTCTCTCACTTCAGATACACTAACCTTCTATCTCTTTAGATACACTAATCTTCTATCTGTCTTTCAAAGATAATAAGTAGGCTTTTCCTCAGGCTATCTGTATGAAGAGTTTCCGCTTCCTGTCATGTTTTTCCTCATGGTTCATTATTTCCTGTATGTCAAGTCTTTGCTTATGTATTGCTTTCTCAATAAGGTCTATCTTAACAAATTACTTTAAGTATAACTTTATCATGAAAGTATATGACTTTCAAGTTATATTTATTATCATATTCTACATTTCTCCTACTTGTTTTTCCACTAACACCTTGTAACCTTACTAATCCACTTATTAAGTATATAACTGTCAGTTGCATTTGATAATATATGTTCAGTGTTGGTTAAGTGTTTCATTAATTAATAGATACCAAGCATTTAGAACTGTTGTTGTTGATTGCCATCCAATCAAGCATGACTCAAATCAACCCTATGTGCAAAAGACCTCAAAGTTCTCCAGAGACATGCTGTTTAGGAAGCGGATGCCACTCCTGCTTCCAAATTTAGGACTATGTTTAAGAATTAGAAAATGATCAATAAACAAATTACTCAGTATGACCATCATAGCTACAATCTTTAACCTAGTCCTTAAACTAGCACTTTTGCTCTTTAATACTTTAAAGTGATCCATGACAACAGATTTTTCCGAATGCAATACATGTTTTAATTTCTTGATTGTTGCTTCCTCGAGTGTTGATTATGGATCTAAGTAAAATGAAAACTTGACAAATTTTACCATTTTTCCACTTATCATAACACTGCCTATTGGACCAATTATGAAGATTTTTCTTTTCTTAATACTGAGGTATAACCCATTCTGACGTCTTTGATCTTCAGTAAGTGCTTCAAATCCTCTTCACATTTAGCAAGCAAGGCTGTACATCTATATAGTGTAGTTTGTTGATTATTCTTCCTCCAATCCTGATGCCACATTCTTATTAATATATTCCAGCTGCTCAAATTATTTGATTAGCATGCAAATAGTTATGAATAAAAGAGACAACTTTAATGCACACTCGTTCAGGTTTTAAAACATGCCGGGTGCTCTGACCCTGTTCAAATGATTGATCTTGGTCAATGTATAGGTTCTACAAGTGCATAATTAAGTGTTATAGTATTCCTGATACTATCCATAGCATAGCTGAATACCTTTGCATATAGGACTGTTATTTAATTTTCAAATTATGTTTTCATGAAATTCTGGTAATTATGTTCTAGTTTTAACTTTTGTTGAATGGTTGAGAACATGGTGATTATTCCAATTATTTTGCTAGTCTCTAGTCTCCATTCAGGGAACTCTGAAGGAAGTCTCCAGGGGAATTGCATTGCTAACCCAAAGGCCACAACTCTCTGGCCTTTTGGATTCACCAGTGACTCCTAAGGAGGAAGATGTGCAATCTCCTCACTTGGCTTTTAAAGTCTTGAAAAGCTAATTTGGGGAGGTTAGCTATGAGTCAGCTCCATCTCAAATAAAAGGAGGATTTGCTTTTTAAATCTGTTTGCTCTAATTTAAGTGACCTTTGATTGACCTTTTGCTAGAAAAGAGATGTATTATTTGTATTTGTTATTTATCAATTGCATATTCATTAATTATTTTCTATATTCTATACCTTTTTCTCACATACTTTGGACATGCTGTTAAAAGGGGCCAGTCCTTGGAGAAAGATATGTTTAGAAAGGTAGAGGGTCAGCAAATGAGATGAAGATCCTTTGAGAGATGACTGACACAGTAACCATGAGACAAGGAGCTCAACAATATCAGAGTTAAGGGTGGTGCAGGATAGGGCAAGGGTCAAGGCTGTTTTTCATAGGGTCACTATGAGTTGAACTCAATGACACCTAACAACAATATATTATTTTAAGTTTAAAAGACAAAACTCAATATATCTGTACTGGAGAAGGTGAAACCTCCTTGGAGGCAAAGATTTTGAAACTCCATATCACATACGTTGGGCAAGTTGCCAAGGGGGATCAGTCCCTGGAGAAAGACATCATGCTTGAAAGGGTAGAGGGCCAGCACAGAATAGGAAGACGCTGGATGAGATGGATTGGCACACTGAATGTGACAATGGGGTCATGGATGGTGAAGTTGGCTTAGGATAGGGCAACTTTCAGAGGGTCACTAGGCGTCATAGTTAAGTCGATGCCACATACAACAATAATATTAGTATTTTAACTCATGTGTTATGTTCTGTAACATTTGACATACTTTACTTTTTGTTCTAATGCTAAAGATTATTCATATTATATTTTAAACCTGATCTCTGACTAATTATATGCCTATCAATTAGTATTCAAAAGTATTGAATGTTTGTGAGATTCTATCTGGATATATGTATTTATTGTAAAAATAGAACTTTTTTCTTTCAAATAAAAAATATTTTGCATCATATGTTGATGTCTTCCTGCAAACAAGCATCATTTACCTTAGATAAAAAGTTTGCAAAATTTGTTATACATAAAATTATTCTGGCTATAAATTCTATGTATGATATAAATTATGTTTTAGAAGTTTATTCTAACCATTATTTAAAGTGCCACTATAATATCTAATTTTTATGTTAGTGATAATACTTTAATACTTCTCATTTTAAATTATTTTCATTTTCTTCAGCCTCAATTTGATCTTGCACAGAAGTAATTGATGGTCTGTTCCAGAGTCCACTCCTGGCTCATGACTGCTTATATAGAGCTTCTCCAACAATTCTTTTCACAATCTGATTTCTATGCAATTCATCAGGTGAAGTCCATATGTGAATCAGATTCAGGCCATGGTCTTTCTGATCACTTATTTTGCATCTGAGAGCTGGACAGTAACTAAGGATGACAGAAAAGGAATTTATGTATTTGAGCTGTGGTGTAGGAGAAGAGTACTGCCATGTACTACCAAAAGAACAATTATGTCTTGGAAAAAGTAAAGCCATAGTGTTCCTTGATGGGAAAGGTGATAAAGCTTTGTCTCACATACTTAGGTTATGTTGCTAGGATAGTTTATTCCTTAGAGAAGGATATCAAGCTTAGGAAGATAGATGGGCAACAAAAGAGAAGAATAACCTCAAACAGATGGCACTGATATTACAATGGACTCTTATGTTTCAAAAAATGTGAGGATGGCATAGGATACGAGGATAGGATAGGGTTCAGATGTGTTGTTTATAGGGATGTTATAAGTTGTATTTGTCCAATGGGACCTAACAATAACAAATATTAATTATATAGGTTTGGAAGCAGGAGTGGCATCCACTTCCTAAACAACATGCCTCTAGAAACTATGTGAACTTTGATAAATATCGATAGTTATAGAAAGGCTTCAGGCCTTTTGTTCATAGGGTTGCTATGAGTCATGCTCGACTAGAAGGCAATCCACAACAAACTGGCTGTGCTTGTTTCCCCCAAATATTATTAGCTAGGATTGGAGGCCTATTGGCAAGAAGCTGCACTGCAACCCCAAAGAGACACAGTTCGGGGCCACCAGCTGCTCCACAGGAGGATAGGAAATCTCCTCACATGTAATCACATGCCTCTGAAAACCCTCTGGAGGGTCAGCCCTGGATCAGTTCTGATGCTATGATACACAACAACAATAAGATATGATTGAGTTTGGTTAGTTACAATTGCATTGTAGAGCCATAAGGCATTGTAAGAAACTGTAGTGCGGTTCTGAAGGCACATAGTTTGAATCTACCAGATACCCCACAGGAGAAAGATGGGCAATCTCCTCCCATGTAATTAAGTTCCTCAGAAAACCTACCAGATGGTCAGCTATGAGTTGATTCAGACTCAATGGTACCCAACAAAAATGCATTGTAAAACAGAAATGAATACATATTTCGCTCTGGCGTCTGCCATCATCTTTCAAGTACTTAGTTGAAGATGATGGAATTCTAAAGAAAGTCACATGAAATCAATCTTTTAAAAAAATTTATCTAATTTCATCCCTCCAAGAAACAATGGTGTTGTTAGGTGTCTTAAATATGATTCTTCTTATAGTAACCATGCGTATACAATACAACTGAACAAACGTTGTACCCTGTGTTGCATCAATCTCACAATTAGTGTTGTACTTATCCATCATGGTAGTATCTTCCTCTTTTTTTCTAATTATGTACTTATTAAAAAATAATTTCTGTTTTGAAAGACTGACGCTTTCTTGTAACACGTTCAAAGTATGTGTGTGACTCTTGCTAGTTTCTCTTCTAAGGATAATCATCACTGTACTTCTTCCAGGATAGATTTATTTCATTCTTTTGTAGTTCATCATACATACACAATCTTCCTCACTAACACTATGATTCAAAGAATTCAATTCTTCAACTTCCTTATTTAGTGTCCCACATTCTAATGAATATCATGGTACCTTAAATATGAAAGTGGCATACTTGATCTTTAGCACTTTAAGGAAGTTCTCTATAGCAGAAACGTCAAGCATAGCAAGCTTTCGATTTATTTTCCTTTTAATTGTGATTTTAGTGAGTCTACAGAAAAGTTGGATTTTCATCAATACACACGTTCTTCCCTCAATTCACTTTGTAATGCACTGCACGTCTTGTTTAAGATTGTAAATTGGCATATAAGATTGTTGTACATATAATGTCTAATCATTTATTCCTTTCAGATAGTCTTAGCCCTTCAATTTGCTATTCTAATGTGGTGTTCATTATATAATTTGTGTATAGTGTCGCTCTGAGTCATAGGCAACTCAATGGCATGTAACAACAACAACAATGCATACCGGAAGCTCTCATCAAATCTTAGATCTTTATCAGTAAGTCCATCACAGCTTTTTAATTTTCAGCAAGTAAAATTGTATCATCTGCATAGTTCAGGTTGTTAATGTACTTTCCTTCAAATTTTATTGCAAATTATTTTTCTATACCCTACCTTCTCTTTACTTGCTCTGCATATAAATTAAGTAGATATGGTAAAAGAATAAAACCTTGACATACACACACCTTTGCTCCCTTTAATCATGTGTTATTGTTCCACTGACTCATAGTTGGCCCTCCAACTCATAGCTGACTGTTCAGCAGGTTTTCAGAGGTAGTTAATGTTATGGGAGGAGATTATCCATTTTTCTCCTGTGGAGCAATTTGTAGATAGCACTGTTAGGTTGATAGCACAACTCTATACCATTAGGCCACCAGAACTCCCTTAATCCTACAGTATAGTTCTATTGTTAGTATCAATTTATTCTGTTCAAATCACTGCTTATTGGTCTTTGTATACTACACACTCCACATAAACAAGATAAAGTGTTCTAGAATGTTCATTATTTGCAAAGGAATCTATAATTTGTTGTGTTTTACATAGCTGAAAGCCTTTGAGCAGTTAATAAAAACAAGTACATAACCTTCTAGAATAAAGCAAAGATAGTCTAACAGAATTCTGGTACAAATGTGAAAAAAAATGAGAACACAAATTGTAGATTGATACTCTAGATATCAGGGAACACTGATGGCCTAGTGGCAAGAAGCTGCACTGCAATCCCAAAGGCATGTGATTTGAGGCCTCCAGATGCTCCAGTGGGAGAAGGATGGGCAATCTCCTCCTTGTGCTTAACTGCCTCTGAAAATGTGCTTTGTGGGTCAGCTATGAGTTGGGTCTGACTCCACAGTACACAATAACAACAACTCTAGATATTGTCTATATGTACTTGAAAGTTTTTAAAAAAGTATAAAACTAGAAACGTTTCCAAGTGCAAAATAATTTTATCCTATATAATTAAAAAAAGATTATATATAAAAATTTAAATCACCTACTTCTGCGTTAGGTTCAGAATGTATGTTCTTCCATCAATTACAATGTTGTAGGCTACCTGGCAAGGGAGTAAATTTTAAAAGGTAAAGAATGAGAAGGATGTTAATCACTAAGCATTAATAATAATTAAATCTTAAAACACTACTATAAATGGGAAAATATGGAATTCAATATTCGTTTTTTCATATCAATGGAATTTGATCTTAATAAAGTGGATTTCATAACAAAATTTTTTATTTGTCATTTTCTACCTGCTATTTTTTTAAAAATTCATCTAATAGAATATGAAAACTGGTGATTTTTTTATACAATTTGTTACATAAACTCAATGAAGATAGAGGCCATCTCTAAACTTTATATTTAAAACTTATATAATATGGATAAAAGCTATCAAATAGAAAATGTTAATTAGGAAATTTAAAAATTATCTGCACTTAATATATAAAAATTACAGATTTTATAAATTGTGTTTGTTCTATATTGGAGTTTAATACTCATTAATATACCTTATTAATTCTAAAATAAACTTAGGAAGGTTTCTAACAGATGAGTTATTTAATCTCTATATGTCAATATTTCAAGTCTTGGCATCTTTATATTATGGGCCTCAACCTGTGAACATTGAATATACGGCCATCTCCTTAGATAGCTAATTTATCTAACTTTATCATGTATACAATATTTTGTAATATATTTGTCTTAAAAATTATTTTAGATATTTTTGTTAGCTAGAATATTTAAAAGAAACCATGGGTGGCATAATCTATAGGGAGTTGGTCGCTGATGCTGTTATTATGTGCCATCAAGTCACCTGAGACTAATAGTGGCCCTATGAACAACAGCCTTAAACCCTGCTTTATCCTGTGCAAATTTTATTGTCTCTGACACACCTATCCCCATTACCCCAGTGACAGAATCAATCCATCTCATCAAGGGTCTTCCTCTCCTGTGCTGTCCCTCCACCCTCCCAAGCATGACGTTCCTCTGCAAGGACTGATCCCGCCTTACAACCTGTCCAAAATGTGTCAGACAGAGCTTCAGAATCCTTGCCTCCCAGGAGCAGCCTGGCTTCACTCTTTATAGGAAAAACTTATTTGTTCCCCTTACAGTCCATATTCAATACTCTTCTCCAGCACCAAAGTTCAAAGGCATCAACTCTCCTTCTATCATCCTAAGTTACTATCCAGCTCTCTGATGGATAGTAGGTTAACTGTATAGACAATGGCCTGTATCAGGTGCACCTTAGTCTCCAGACTGACATCATTGCTCCTCAGTACCTTGGAGAGGTCTCTGACAGCAGACTTTCCTAATGCAATTCATCTTTTAAGTTCCTAACTACTGGTACCAAGAGTGTTGATTGTACAGTCAAGCAAACTGAAGTTGTCAACAATATAAATCTCTTCCTCCTCCATCATGCTGCTGCTAATCCGCCCAGTGGTGAGAATATTTGTTTTCTTGATGTTGAGCTTCAATCCATATTGAAGGCTGCAGTCCTTGACCTTCTGCAGCAAGCACTTCAGGTCCTCCTCAGTTTCAGCGAG